ATAAAGCAGTATATAGGATACAACAGTTTGTTTTAATCCATCATTGGTATCGGTTTAAAACAAAGATAGGGAAAAGAAACCCATACAGTCAGACGCTAAAATGTCGTACCTGCTCATGTTTACTAGTAAAGGATCTTCCGTTTTAAGTAATGACTTTTATCCACCAATACATTTAGTTGAGAATTCGTCGTACGAGATTGGTTTAATATACCTTGACGTAAATAANTTAATTTTTGGTTAGTCTTCCTGTTTATATTTTTTGTGAGATAATCTAAATACATATTATGGTAATTTCAAATAAATTTTGATGAGAATTCTATCCAAATTAACTTAATGATGTTCATTAATGTTATGCATTATACACATTATCGTCGTAGATCTGGAATTCTCTAGAAATTCTAATATACTTGTCTTGACAAAGTTGTGGGTTATTCAGGTTTTCGCTGAGTGATATTGCAAAACCCACAAACTAGACTTTCCACATTGATCAGAACCATATTTCAGTGCCCTAGTAAGATACGCCCTAGTAGAACCCGATTCGGCGCCGATCGTGCTAGAGATTTTCTTAACAATTTCTAATATTCCTATGTATGATTATAATTTTGCGTGAAACTAATAAATTTTGCTCTTGGTCTTGGTCTAGTTCTGATGTTGGTTATGCTAGGAGTGCTAAGTCTTGGCCTTCATTTTGGTATTGCTAAACGAACAAGATGAAAAAAAGACAAGACAAAACGGCAAAAGCGAAACTATTATTACTCATCCTGAGTACCTATATATATATGTACGTATATACAGTAAATGAGACCACAGTCTGCAACATTTACGTGTGAAATTCCATTTACCTGCGTTACATAGGGTTAAAGCTGTGGAGGATTCATAAATGGACAAAGTTAACGAAATACAATAGTTCCGTTTTTGTCATTTTACCTAAAAAAACGAAATACCGTACAAAAACTGTGTCACATTGCAGTCGGTGAGAAAGTTAAGAATAAATAAATAGATCTAGAACAAAGTTTGTTTTTCTGAGTATAAGTTTAAATTATGACAATATTTTTTTCTGATTGCAAATAGGAATACGCTTCCATTTAAGATATACATTAAATAAAGCTGTGTTTACGCGGTAAGTGAAACTCTAAGTAAGTAATGATTTTTTTAATTATAAATATTTAACAAATAAAACTTTCTTTACTCAGAAAACCAAAAATGTTCTACACCGTTGCGTTTAAAAGCACTGTGCCTGTCTCATTGTACTTGTCATATTACATAGTACGGCACAAAGTAGAAACTTGCTACGGCCAATTTTCTATATTGAAAATATTTAGTATGTATCGAGGCCCTGAATTCATTAACAATTTGGAGACAAATTTAATTCGTCGTCACTATTATAAGGAAATGTTACAGTGGAATATATAACAAATGGAATTAAATTCATAAAACAAATACATTTGTAATCATTTTAATAAATTTCATTTTTCTTTTTCAATTAATGTTATTTATTTACCGATAACCACTCACATTATAAATAATATAACACTTAAAATAGTAGACCAAAATGGGAACTTAGTTAATTTCAGACAGGAGGTTATAACAGTCGCACTACATCTAAGGAAGATAGTAAATTAAGAAAAAAAGAGATATGGTTGTAAGATTTAATGGTAGCAGTAACAACGACAATAGAACCAGTGAAGATATATATGGACCAGCTACAATTAACAAAATTAGTCATAAAGAAGAGTCTAAAAGACTAACATCAGAAAACAAAAATTTTTAATATCACTCGGTTTCAAATTGAAAAAGTAATAAAAAAGAAAAATGATGAATATACTACAAGTTAATAAAAAAATTAACTTGGATAATTCGATAACAAATATCGAATTACATTCGCATCAACCGTATGCAGCAAATACTTTAAATTACAGTGATTAAATCATCGTAGGTTTTTAAATCGACAGAAAACAACCCTAAATCAGATAATTCACATTTTGATCATTGCAGTTTGAAGTCTTTTAAATTATATTTAAACTGAAATTTATCCATCTGACGATATCAATGTTAATTATCGTCAAAATCAATTTGCAATTTTATACCAAATGTATAGCAAATTTCAACAGTCGTATTATTGTAATAAGAGCAGCGCCGAACCCTGCTTACACCAGATTTGTTTAAGAAACGTGCACCGCTAGCGGTAATTGATTGCTCACACCAAAGTGAAACGGTTAAAAACGGTGCTGTTGATATTCCATTAGAATTTGAAACTGCTGAAGATGTAGCTGCTAAAACGTCGGCGTATTGTCTAATTATTCACGAAAGATTTGTAAATTACAATCCACGTACAAGTGTTGTGCGTATTTTATATAAAAAGAAAAAGAAGATGCCCATTAAAATTAAATACAGGTGCCCTAAATGTAAAGGTGAAACTGATGAACCTGATACGGGTTGTATTCCTTGCAATTTTACAGAGTATATCAAGACAAAAAGTGGACATAAACACATTTCAACAACCTATTTTACTGGAAAAGGTCCCTCAGCTGATAAGAATTAGTCATAAGTTCGTATCAGTATCATGTGACCTAGTTTTATGTGTTTATTATTATTATTCTCTGTTTTCAATATGAAAAAAGTACAATAGTAGATAGTAATGTTCAAAAACAGTTTAGTGATGCATGCGCGCACGGTTTTACAAATATAATGGGAAAACCTGTAATCGTTGATTTACAAGGTTTTAAAACAAACAATAATCAATTTGTTGCAAAAGAAGTATCCGTTTGCAATCTTTCGAACGAAGACATAAATGTATTTTTATTTAAACCGCCACATCAATATCAATATCTATCACCGAAATACGTACGTGAAAATCGTTGGTTGAAAAGGAACTTTCACGGATTATCGTGGGAAGATGGAATAATTGATTACAATCTGATAAGACATGTTCTGAAAATACAACTTCNGATGGTTGTGTGTTTGTAGGATTTTAGGATTGTTATGTTATTTTATTGAAGGAGGGAGGTTGTCTAAATATTCAGAGTATTCGTCTGGGATTGTAGGGGTTATTGCCAGAAGTTTGGCGGGGGGAAAGGGTATTTTGTTTTTGGGTTTACGTTTAAGTCTGAGAGGTATGTGTTTTAATGTATTTGATGAGATGGGGTTATTGTTCTCAATGGCTCGGTTTACAAATCTGCTTTGGAGTTCAGCGATACGGTAAGGTATTTGGTTAATGTTTATGTTATTATTAGTGTACAGTGTATCCGAAGGGGAAAATCGATTTAAACGCGCGATTTTGCGTAAGATGCGTCTTTCCGCGGTGAGAATGGAGTGAATCTGTTTTTCGGTGGCTGTCGTTAGTATAACTGCTCGGTAATCTATTAAGGGCCTAACGAACGTTTTATAGGTGTGTAGTAGTGTTTCCGTGTTGCAAGTTTTAATCTTACCGTTGATTAGTGAAATTAAGTTTGCGCGTTTTCTAAATTTGTCGAGTGTAGTTAAAATATCGTTGTGCGGATTGAGCGTGTGTGTTAATGTGAATCCTAGGTATTTAATTTCCTTTTTTAACTGAATATTTTGATTGAAAAGTTTGACGTTGACTTCTTCTTTAGAAAGGGTGTATTTGCAAGTTAGCCTGGAATGGTTGAACATAATCAGTTGTGTTTTATCGGGGTTGGGTTTTAGGCGCCATTTGCTGAGCCACACTTCTAGCTTTTTGATTTGGCTGTTTAATTTTGTGTTGCATGATTTCGCGCTATTCCCGTTTGCCCAATATGCGGTGTCGTCAGCGAATTGACCTAGACTGATAGTGTCCATTATAGGTTGGGGTAGGTCGTGACAATAAATGTTGTACAGGTGTGGAGCAAGTACTGTGCCCTGCGGCACTCCTGCTGTTAGTGTGAACGATCGCGAGAGCGTGTTACCGATTTTAATTTTGGATGGTCTATCTGATAGGAATGATGCTATAATTTTTACGAAAAAGGGAGGTAGATTAATTTTGAGTAATTTATATAATAGGCCGTTGTGCCAGACTGTATCGAATGCTCTTTCGAAATCGAGTGCGATTGCTAGAGTGCACCCGCCCGCGTTCATGTTAGAAATTGCCTCGGTCTGGAGTTTTAGGACTGGGTCAAGGGAACTAAGTCCCTTTTGGAACCCAGCTTGGGAATTCGGGATGACATTGTTATCAGTGCAGTATTCTCTGAGTCGCGATCCGATTATTCGTTCGAAGATTTTTCCGGAGTTATTTACAAGCGATATTGGGCGGTATGATTTAGGGTCGGTATGATTCTTAGGTCATTCTTCGGCTGTTTTACGAGCGATATTGGGCGGTATGATTTAGGGTCGGTATGATTCTTCCCGGGTTTGGGGATCATTACTATTTGTGCGCTTTTCCACCGTGTGGGATAATATCCGGTTGTTAGTATGCCGTTATAAATAGCTGAGGGGTATTCGATCGCGGATTGTGGAAGGTTTTTGATAATATTGTTTGTTATGCCATCTTCACCCGGGGAATTGTTTTTTAATTTTACGAAAGTGTCGGTGATGTCCTGCGTTGTTATTTCGCGTAGTATGTTGGTTGTGTGTATTGAGCATTCTGTAGATCTCGTGTAATTTGGCGATCTACTCTTACGGTGTGCTCAGCGTCATGGTGTGGACCGGTGTAAGTTATGTGTAGATTTTCGATTGTTTCCGCGAATGCATTAATTTTTTCTTCGGTGTGTTGTAGATACGATCGTTGACTGCGAGATGGCTTATTGTCGCGCGTTTTTGTCCAGTGATTGCTTTGAATTTGCTCCAAAATTTAGTGCCGTCATGATGATTTAGTTTTGAACATGTTTCGTTCCACCTTTTCTCGTGGTGTTGGTTAATTTTTAGACGGACTAGGGCGTTTAATCTATTCCATTCCGTTTTGATGAGCGGGTTCCTATTTCTGATAAATAGACGATAGATTTCGCGTTTTCGTTTAATTAGTTCGATTATTTCGCGAGGGAGACGTTTCCTTCCTAGGCAGGTACGTTTAATCGGTACTATGTCGTTTATCGCGTTTTGAATTGTTTGGTTGTAGGTTTCGTTTGGGGCGTCGATTTCTTCGGGGTTTGATATGTCCGGTGCGGTTAGGTTCGCGTTAGTTACGTGTTCGCGTAGCCGGTCGAAGTTGATGTTTTTGAAGTCTCGTATTTCTTTGAATGTCGGACGCGTGAGGATACGAGTTTGAATACTGAGTGTGGCGGTGAGAGGCAAGTGATCGCTAGTGATCGGTGTTCCGATAACGCATTCGTTTGTAAAGAGTGGTGCTAGTCTGTCTGTGCATATTATGTGGTCCGGGATGGAAGCACCGGCATAATTCATGAAGGTGATGTTTTTATTTCTAATGCGATATAGACTGTGTGACAGTAATGCGTTAGCGAGTGAACGACCGTTTGCGTTTGTTAAAGTATCACCGAAGGAAGTGTGCCTCGCATTAAAGTCGCCTAAAACTATTGCGCGAGGTAAGGTTGAAATGTATGCTAAAAAATCGACCGTGAGCGCCCTGGAGGGACTGTTGTAGAAAGAGAAAATTATGATATCTCCAGTGTGTAGATGTATAGTGGCAGCACAGCAGTCGATTTCTGAAAATTGCGCAGGTAGGAAAAAATGGCTAGAAGCGATTGAATTGTGAATGATAAGCGCGGTTCCCCTTTTACGGAGGATTTTATCATCCCTGTAGATTTTGTAATCCGCGATGTGTATTTTATCTTTTCGTTTGCATAAAGTCTCTTGGAGCGCGAGAATGTGTATTTGATCGGTGTGTAAGGTGTGTGTTATGTTGTGTTTTTTACGCTTCCAGCCGCAAGTGTTGACAGTCGAAATTTTTAAGTCCGCGAATGTTAACTAAAAAGGGGATGAGCCATTGATTGAAAGGGATAGGACTTAGGAACGATGTTTAACAGGAACTGGGGTTATGGAGAGGTGAACATAAGTTCCTTTGTGGATGTAGGAGACCTTCCGCTTGAAGAATTCTCTCGCTCGGCGAGCAATCGCATTCTCGACAGCATGTTGGTTAGGTGTCAATGATGATAGGACGAGATAGGTGAATCTGATTGTGTCGGCGATTCGGCAGAACCTTTCTGGTTCAGGTGTGGAGCTAAGCTCGGAGGTTGACTCGTCTTCGTCAGCGTCTGAGATGTCTTCTGCGGGTGGGTCGACTCATTTAATCGGAGCTTTCTTGGACGGGGTGAGGGTCTTGGGATTGGGTCTTTTTGGACATTTGGAATCAAAGGCAAGGAGTTTGCCTTTGCAGTTGCTGCATGAAGGAGATGAGGTGCATGTTGCGGAGTCGTGGTTTAAACAGCAGCGGTAGCAACGCGGTTTTTGCTTGCAAGAAGAAGTATTGTGGCCGAATGCGAAGCATTTTCCACATTGTAGTGGCTGAGGGCCAGGGGATTGCGAAGGTTCGCAGCGATAATTCTTGGAGAACATTTTGAAGCCGTTAGAGAGTAATCTGTCGATGGACTTAGGACAGTTCGAGATGATCCGGAACAGGAAGGTGTCCTGTCCCGTTTGCCTGGACTTAATGCGCCAGGGATTTTTGGCTTCAATGTTCTCGTCACCGAGAGCGGTGAGGATGTCTGTAGGCGAGATGTTCATATCTACTGAGCAAGCTACGCAGGAGAAGGTAGGTTTAAAGGGAGTAGGTCTGTTAGGTGTCGGAAGTAGAGGTTTTTTGGATTTGCTTTCTCTCAGTTGGATTTCTATCTTTTCGGATATAGTGGATCTTAAGGGTTTCAACTTTTTAATTAGGTCGGGATCTCTGGAGGTAACGACAGCTTTGTTGTCTCTAAAGACAGTTAGGTTAAGGAACATTAGGGAAGGTAGACCTTTAAGTGTGTTATAAAGGTCTTTCTGGTTGCACAGTTTGATAGGGATGTTTGTTATTAAGGCGGCTAGGATTGGGAGAGCGTTAAGTGGTTGGGGAGATCTAGGTGCAGAGGTAGAAGCTGAAGTAGACGAGGTTGAGGAATAAGACGAGGAACGTCTACGGGAACGTTTCACAACTTGGAACGGTTATTCTTCGGGGGAGGAAGTCCTAGGGTTTTTGGTCGTTGGAGTATTCATGGCTTGTATTATGTTTATCTATGTGTGTGTTTAAGTGTGAATAAATGTGTACTTGCGTGTATGTGTGTGTGTGCGTGAAAGGTGTATTAGTTGGTTAGCGCGTTTGTTTGCAGGGGTAGTGTTAATCCAGAGGGACGTTGCGTACTCGGTCCCTAAGAATGTCGGTTAATTAATAAAATCATTTTAAACTTTGCTTACCGGTAACGGCTGGGCAGTTGAAAACTCTTGGCGATGGCTGTAAAAAATAAAAATTGCAAATAAATTGCGGGAATCGAACTTGAAGTAAGCTGGATGTCTGCTGACTGCTGCTCTGNATACCAAATGTATAGCAAATTTCAACAGTCGTATTATTGGAATAAGAGCAGCGCCGAACCCGTGCTTACACCAGATTTGTTTAAGAAACGTGCACCGTTAGCGGTAATTGATTGCTCACACCAAAGTGAAACGATTAAAAACGGTGCTGTTGATATTCGATTAGAATTTGAAACTGCTGAAGATGTAGCTGCTAAAACGTCGGCGTATTGTCTAATTATTCATGAAATGTTTGTAAATTACAATCCACTTACAAGTGTTATGCGTGTTTTATAAAAAAAAAAAAGCCCGTTAAAATTAAATACAGGTGCCCTAAATGTAAAGGTGAAACTGATGAACCTGATACGGGTTGTATTCCTTGCAATTTTACAGAGTACGAGTATATCAAGACAAAAAGTGGACATAAACACATTTCAACCACTTATTTTACTAAAAAGGTCCCTCAGCCGATAAGAATTAGTCATAAGTTTGTATCTGTATCATGTGACTTATTTTTATTATTATTCTCTGTTTTCAATATCAAAAAAGTACAGTAGTAGATAGTAATGTTCAGAAACAGTTTAGTGATGCATGCTTGCACGGTTTTAAAAATATAATGGAAAAGTCTGTAATCGTTGATTTACAAGGTTTTAAAACAAACAATAATCAATTTGTGGCAAAAGAAGTATCCGTTTGCAATCTTTCGAACGAAGACATAAATGTATTTTTATTTAAACCGCCACATCAATATCAATATCTATCACCGAAATACGTACGTGAAAATCGTTGGTTGAAAAGGAACTTTCACGGATTATCGTGGGAAGATGGAATAATTGATTACAATCTGATAAGACATGTTCTGAAAATACAACTTCAGTTAAATCATGCAACAACCATTTATGTAAAGGGTCAAGAGAAGGTCAAATGGATTCAAGATATTCTGGATGATAAAAATATTATTATTATCAACTTAGAAGATCTGCAATGTCCGTCATTTGAAAACCTAAAAAATAACTACTTATATTCACCTTGCTATTTACATAATATTATACATAAAATACCAAAGTGTGCTAGAGAAAATGTAAAATTATTAAAATCTTTTTTAAAAAATCTAGCAAGATAATAATGATTGAAAAATTAAAGTTGTAAACTATTGGTTTTTCTTTTCTTTTTTGTGTACATGCAGACAGATACATACGTAAATGCATACATATTACTATCTGCTGATTACAGCACATCCTTCGTGCTAAGAAACATAATACCTGTTTGTGTAAGTCTATAGAAGAAATTGACGTTAATTTTTTATTTTCAATACGTAAACACATACACTCATATTTGCATATATACATACTACCTGTTTATGTAAAAGTCTGTAGTAGAAATTGACATGTCTTTTTTTATTTCCCTAAATATATAGATTAAATATTAATATAATTTAATAAATGTTCATATATCAATTATCTTCTTTCTATAAGTACATATATTTTAAGCTAATTAAAACAATTTTATACTTCAACAGATCTTTCTAATAAAATTATGAAATAAAACACCATGATAAGATTGAACTCTTTTATTTTATTAAAATATTAGATATGTGAAAAAATTAATATTGAACAATGTTTAGTGTGTTCGGTCATCCATCAGGTAACATGAAAAGAAAAAAAAATTCTATATAGATATGCTACATATACAATAAATGGTTGTACATACCTCCTTAAACTAATCATACATCTCGACCATTTTGGCCGAGTATCTTCAGCTAAAACAATAAAATAAATAAGAAAAATGTATGTGTGTACAAACTCAAACATTCATAAGTGAATATAAATAACAAAAAATCACTATGACTACAATAATATGTAATGAATGTTTCTACATACCAAGGTAAATAGTGGCCTGTGGAGTAGGCCCTCTTTCTACCGTGAAGAATACGTTAACGTATTTTCCACGATGGATGGTGGTGCTTACGTAAACACCACCAGGGGAGGCTGTTCCTTTTTTATGCGGAAAAATAAAATTCCTTAAAAATTTAAAATTATTATTATCAAATGTAAATATTGTTTTAACTTACCTATAGAATGGTATATTTACTGATTATTAGATCCTTAACTAAATCAAGTAATTCTAAAAAAAAAAAAAATTAATAATAAACACAGTCACTAAAGCAAACATCTTACCTTCACCACTCATGATGAAATAAAACAGTATATCGCTAACCACACAGAACACTTTTTCTCAAGCAGAAAAAATGCAATATAAAGAAATATGAGGCGGTCATAAACCTGGCTATGTGATCTCTTTCTAATACCTTGTATTATAATGTAATAATAGGGATATGCATATTTCATAAAATATAGTACCTAATGTAATGCTCATATATAGTAATCTTCCAACATTTACTGTAAGGTTTCTTATATTTTCTATAAACCGCTTGTACATATAT